ACACACATACATATATACACACACATACATATATATATATATATATATATATACACACACATACATACATATACACACACACACACACATATATATATATATATATCCTGACGCTAGTTTGTGTCCTCCCGTTACCCTAAGGAGAACTATGTTGAAAAGCCCTAACCCCATAGTTCTCCTTTTAAAGCTCCATAGGCGAGGTAGGATGAGCCCCGAATTGGGCTTTAGGTACAGGTTCTAATAAATACAATTGAAACAAGTGTTGTCAATGAACAAATTGGTGGCATTCCGCCATCATATAACCATCTGAAGGCTCACACTTTTCTTTTCAGATGAAACCACTGGCGGGAAAATACTGTGCACGCCTGTTCTCTCAGAGAGAGCAAAGGAGGAAGACGGAAGTGATTCCGAGGAGGAAACGCCACAGGAAAGGGTTAATAAGCCATCACCACCATCGCCTCCTGCTCTGACCTGTATCGATCCTCAAGTCCAGGATGCACCTCTCATCTTCAACAATGCCAAATCCAATCCGAGACACATCTGGGGAAGATCGGCTTATAACACCGGCGGGGAGACGGCAAAAAAGCTCAAAGATATTTTGCTTTCAGACCACCCAGAGCAAAACGTCGTCAGCCCTGGAAACAAGATGGAGGAGGCGGCAGGAGGAGGAGACATGCCCACCGATGGGAGGAGCAAAGGGATTTTAGGGTTAGACTGTTATACATCTTCTGATGAGGAAAGCTAACACTATGTTGTCTATGTTTGGGGCGCCCTTATTTATATTTTTTCAATATCAAACGACATTTAGTATCCAATGCGGTTTATTAACAGAGCTAATAATAAAATATATTTTTCTATTTTATATTGAATTTAATGAATTAAAAATTCCAGTGTGGACAAAAATTTAAGAAACCTATTGGTCCACCCGGCACATGATGTCAGGGCTTCAGCTCTCAGTTTTACAACCTTCCGGAGTGGAAACCAGAGGAATTTTAAATGTGCTGAGATGGCTCCCGGTGCTCAGCCCGATCTGCCTACTCACTGAGTGAGACAGGGCAAGCGCTGAGCCAATGCCAACAGCTCTGGGCCTGAAAAGCGCTCTGCGGCTATCTTTTGACCAGAACGGAGTCTGGAAAGCGCCTTGCATGGAACCCAGTGCCCAAAGGCTAGCCCGGCAACTTCCAGTCGGGTGTGGATACGGTACTCGTAGGCTGGGTTCACACCTAGGCGTATTGAATATGCACGTTTGTCGCGCGGTTAGCGTCGCACGTTTTAACCGCGATTCGCGGTTAAAAAAAACGCGACAAACGTGCGTTTCCGTGGGCTACTTGGCTGTATGCCAATGGAAACGCGAGACCAAAACGTCCCAAAGAAGTACATGTACTTCTTTGGGCGTAGGCCGTTTTGTATCACGGGCGGAAATACGGCAAGGTGTGAACCAGACCCATTGACTACAATGGGATTTAGATGTTTGAGCGTTTTGTAGAGCGTGCGTTGAACGCGCTACAAAACGTTCAGGTGTGAACCAGGCATAAAAGCCAGGCTGAGAATGGTCGTGTCAGATAGCTGCAATTGAGGAGAGTGGCTCTAGTAGAGATGTATAGAAGAGTCCTAAGGGGGGGAAAAAAAAGTGCTGGAAAAAAACAGAATTTTAGTATCGATTGAAAAAAATCCTCTTCTTGGAGTCTGTTGAGATGGACAGGTCCCGCGCCTCTGTTTATAATCCTACTCTAGGTACTGCTTGACTACTAAACTGAGGCATACTAGCAATAGGAGGGGTTATACCCTGAGCTGGGGTGCGATACCCTGCATGCTAGTGTCCACTGCGGGCATGGCTGCGGTGCCATTTACTTTAATGCACCACCACGCGACCCTCCCGCCCCTGAACGCAGGAAGCCGTCCGGAATGCGATCCAGAGCACTTTATGGTGTGAACCGGTATCATTCATATACGGTGAGCATTTTTGTAGAGCAAATGTCAATTCTAAGAGCCAAAAATGATGAGCTGAAGAGGTTTGTTGTGTTATTAAATGATTGGTAGTCAACACTTCCTTTTGAATAGTCTTGCCTTGCAGCAATCCAGCATGCGGCATCGGGAGGAGATTAAAGATGGCCGCACAGTGGATAGCTGCAGCCCAGAGTCATCTCATTGAGGCCGTTCAAATGGAACTGCACGTCCACACTGACTGACTGACGCTGCAGCAGCTGCTCTATACACCCTGAAGAAGTGGGATTGCTGCTCCTGAAACGTGTTGGATACCCAATTTTTTTTTTTTTATTCATAAAAAGATGATTAACTTGCATTGAACCTCCTTTTGTGGCTCTCTAATTTTCTTCTCCATTTTGTTTTCACGCAAAGGTTCCCCAGCAGGCGGAGGGTAACTGCAGTTCAGGAGCAGCCTAATTGCTGCACCGCCACTTCAAATGCTATGGTCATTATTTCCATCAGTACTTTAGACATCCTTCAAACCTTTCTCTGTTTGCAAAGCTGGGGCTAGAACCAGGTGAGAGTGCTTCAATCTGCAATCCTATTGGCTGAGAGGGTCTGCTCCACAAACCTTCTCATGTTTGAACAGGGTCCGCCCATTTCTCACCTACTTTCATGCCGCCGCCATTATCAACATAGACGGGAGTCTTCAAAACGGACATTTTATTAATAAATACACATCGTTGGCATATACACTGCGAGATTAGCCTTTCGGTATACGGACGTTGGTTTATGCACCGCCTCTGAGGTGGAATTACAGACCGTCTCAGTGGTGAGCGCAGGTGTGCAAAGCATTATGTGCACCTGTATATAGTTTATTGTTGTTTGCCGCAGGGGAAATGCCGTATGCCTATTCCACCCCCTTCACGGGGCAAATCTAAAAGTGCCGGAGACACAACGCGGGCTCTCTGCGGACACCGGCGTGCGCGTACCTCTCATGATCTGACAACACAGGACGGCGGCGGATGAGCCATTCTTGTCTCAAATTATTTCTGGAACGAGTATTGACCGACGTTTGTATTTGGCAGAAGGTGGATGAGCAGCTGGTAGCAGGTAAATTACAGCCCATTATATTTAAATCAATAACACGGTACGAGTGCGGGGGTACGGGGGCCTGCGAGATTGGATTTCCTTCCCTAATTAAAGAATTATGTTCAATGTAATTAGTTTCTCCGGCTGAAGGGTAAGAAAAAAAAAAATCTGAGCACAAAGAGTCTGGCTGCTAGGAAACTAGAAATCCCAGCAGACACTGCCAGCTTTTTAGGGGGTTGTAGTTCTCTGTCAGCTATAAGGCCGTCGCAGTAATAGGGCACCAAGATCTTACAAATACATTCCAGTCCCTGAACTATGAACAACAATGTATCTTATTTGTGTATCACTCGGCTGTAGATCCTCCAATCATCTCTGAATTGGTGCTGACACTGTCCTTCCTTCTGGAGGGGGGCTACGTCTGTTCCCCATGGTCCCCGTGTGTTGTAAAGTAGTCACCGCTCCAAGCTCGCTCCCGGGATGGACTACAATCTCAATACAAATCAGTAAACTAAAGGTGCCCATACACTGCACGATTCTCGTACGAGAATCGCGCAGTGTGAATGAAGACGTGCGACCGTTTCTACTGTACGGTCGCACGTCTTTTGTCTAAGGAGCACGCTAGAAAACCAGCCTGGCTTTTAGCATGATCATAAGATCAATGCCGCACGGGCACACTGCCCGTTCAGCATTGCGGTCATCGGAAGCCCGCCCCTAAGGTGGGCGCGGTTTGCGATGATCGCAAGTACCATCTGCCTGTCCAAGATAGGCAGATCGTACGTTTTTTAAAATAACTTTACAACCATCGCAAGACTATGGTCTTGCGATGGTTGTAAAGTGTATGGGCACCTTAAGGCTCTGTTCACACCTAGGCGTATTGAATATGCGCGTTTGTTGCGCGTTTCTACTGCGATTCACGGTAAAAAAAAACGCGCGTTTCCGAGGGCTACTTGGCTGTATCCCAATGGAAACGCGCGACAAAAACGCCGCAAAGAAGCTCCTGTACCTTTTCAGGCGTAGGGCGTTTTGTAGCGCGTTCATACGGCCTGAAATACGGCAAGGTGTGAGCCATACCCATAGGAAACAATGGGATTTTCATGTTTGAGCGTTCGTAGAGCGTTGAACGCGCTACAAAACGTACAGGTGTGAACCAGGCCTAAACCTGAGATTGTAGTCCATCATGGGAGTGAGCTTGGAGCGGTGACTACTTTACAACACACACAGGGACCATGGGGAACAGACGTAGCCCCCCTCCAGAAGGAAGGACAGTGTCGGCACCAATTCAGAGATGATTGGAGGATCTACAGCCGAGTGACACACAAATAAGACACATTGTTGTTCATAGTTCAGGGACTTTAATGTATTTTTAAGATTTAAAGTGACATTAAATCCTCAGATTTTTTAACATAAACCAATACTGTAATGTGCGCCTTACTGGAATCCATGGTTGTTTCCCTTCTCTTTGCTGCTCTTCCTTTTAAATCCTCATGTCTTCTCATGCTGGGGGAGAACTTCCCTTTGCAGCTGAGTGCCTCTTCCTGTAGTGCTGGCTCAGGTTGTGAACCTATACAACCCTACACACAGATACCATGTATCCATTCTAGAGACAAGGCAGTCTGCTGCAAAACAGAAGTTCTGCCCAGCATGAGAAGACATGAGGATTTAAAAGGAAGAGCAACAAAGAGAAGGGAAACTACGATGGATTACAGTAAGGCGCACATTACACTATTGTTTTATGTTAAAAAATCTGAGGGTTTAATGTCACTTTAACCCCTTCGCGACCACGGGCGTAAATAGTACGTCATTGGCAGCACAGCCCTGTAAATGGACTCTGATTACCTTTGTTGGGGCTTTTAAAGCGTGGTGTATGGACTTTTTGGGGTACTGAATTTTGTCTCTGTTTCACGGACGCACTAAAATTAACTTAAGTGCGTGTTTCACTACATTGTTTGAGTATGATAAAGAGCCAATATTTGCAACTGCCGCCATTTTATTCTACAGGTTGTTGGCCTTCAGAAAATATATCATGTTTTGGGGGTTGGAAGTAATTTTCAGTCCTAAAATATGGATTATATCGTGTGTATAAAACAAACAAAAAAGGCCTCGACAGCGAAGGGGTTAAGTTCTCTTTACACATCTCTAGTGCATTGCTGCGCATTACCACACACATGCAATATGCAGTATTCCGCGCATTGTGTTAAAGTGGAATGGCAGCCATTACCCCCAAGCACCCATCTCCGACAATCCCCCACATTACAACATATACAAACCTTAAAACCTCATTCCTGCAATCTTCCAGCCACAGCGGTGATGTCACAGGAGCTTCCCCTTCTCCCTCTATCAGGGGGCATTAATCTAGGACTGAGCGGCTCTCACCCAATGATATGCAAGCCTAGCCTGCCTCTATGATGTGCCCCCAAGGGGGGTGTAAACAACTGGCTCAAAGGAAGAGCAATGGCCCAAGGAGGAAGCCGGGTACGGCTCTGGAGCAGAGTGCCAATAGAACTTTCCCCCACAGTGAATCCATAGAAAAAACATTTTTGATGGTAACAGTGAATGGCTAACGCACTGCACCACGACGCAGAGGTGCTTTCCATCAATCTCTTGTGGCTTGCTGCTAGGGTTGCCACCTTTTCTTCAAGCGAAACCCTAACACACTCCTAGTGACGCACGGACATTTTTGGGGGGAGAATGAGTCGTGGCTTATGCATATGTAAAACCGCCAGCCATTCATATGTAAATATCACAGTTGAGACTATTTTCAGTGGGGGGGCCCGTAGCCCCTATCTTGATTTTGGTTGCCCCCGTCTGCCTGATATCATGTGTCCGGGTTTCAGCTGCCATGAAACCCGGACACAGCATTCAAAACCCGGACTGTCCGGGTGAATCCTGGACAGGTGGCAACCCTACTTGCTGCAATGAACATACATTGGCGTGCATTTGCAAGGTGCATTAGGCTGCCATTTAAGGGCAGGTTCACACCATTTTCCAGAACAGATCTGGTGTGAACCTGTCTGCAGTTCCAGTGCGTTCCAGACCGGACAAAATGAGACCTGCAGTATTTTTCTGGTCTGGAACGGACTGCGCTGGTGTGAACAGAGGCCAGAAATAGCATAGGGATACATTAGGATGCATTTTGGGTTAGGAAACAATCTGCTCTGGTCTGCAGATGATCTGGATGTGGTGTGAATGGGTCCTAAAAGTTATAGCAGTACAATGCACTGTTGGGTTGATTGGTAACGTGTATGTTAAAACCGACCTAAAAGTTCAACAAACTAAAAGATATCCCAAAAACTATACAGAAAAAAAAGCAATCCTCTTCTAAAAATGTTTTTCGGGATGTTTGCTGAACAGTTAAAAACATTGTATTGTATCCGAGGAGCAGAAAACGGTGACATCCGTCTGTCGTTCCAAGATGGCCGCCGTGACGTCATGATTCAGTGACCCGTGCAGTCAGTCTCCGCCTCATGCTTTTCGGAAGCAGGAATTACGAAGGGGTGAACGCGATCTGTCGGGCTGATATTACTGCTGCGGAACGTGAAAGGTTTATAGAAGATCCGGAGATTCCAGGTAGAGGGTGATAAGAAGGTTCAACCTGAAACGTTCATATTTACAGGTTTTACATTGTCACTAACCATTTTCTTCAGCCATCGGTTGGCGGATCCGAGGTGGAGGCCTCCGTCTCTATTTCGGCAGCCACTGCCAGAGCCCCGCCCACATCCTCTACGTCTTTATTGCTTGTGTAGCTGGAGAGGAAATAATCTTCTATGCGGCTGAGGAATTCATCAGCAAACGCTGAACAGGCTGCGTTCACCAGCGTCCGCCGCAGACACGTCAGGAGCTGCGACAAAAGCAAAGAGAACCTGTAATGAACATCTCACTGATATGACTGAACGTCGAACTGAAGGATGATATGTTAGCGCAATCCTAAGGTGGTGTGTTATATAACTGATATTGTTAGGCCGGGGTGTCTAAGTGTGTGAAGTTGAACAGAAAAAAAAAAAAGGAAGGCGCCCAACTGACTGGCGCAGGGTGTAAGGATGGGAACGGGAAGGACGGGAAGGACGGGATCAAAGATGAGGTATTGGCAAACCATCAGGAACAGAACGTGCTTCGCCGCTACGCCTCCGATCCGGCACAGGACTCCTTTCCACATTGATAGCGCCACACACCAAACCTCATGGTGAGCAAGGCCCCATTCACACTAAACGATTGACAGCGCGATAGCTCGCATTTTTGTCGCAGGATATCGCGAGAAGTCGCCGGCCAATGCTATTCAATGGAGCTGTCTTAGCTCCATGTCGCTGTCGCTCCAGCGGATTTTCCGCGATTTTTCTATTTTTTAATGGAGCCCGACGGTGAAGCTACCGTCGCTAGATCGTCGCCCCGAACAGTCGCGCTATCCCGGCCGAGCGGGTCCGCTGCAAAAGGTATGTCGCTTAGTGTGAATGGGGCCTAAAGAGTTAACATCCCGTTACACACATGTGCAGAAATTGTAAACAATTGTTCCCTCCTTCCCGCATCGGATTCCAAACGGTAGTCCACGCAAGGGATGAGACAGCACGCCAACCCCTGTGACGCCTCCTAACTAGGGAAGCACCAATGCCAAGCACCGTACTCCGTACAAGTACAGATACTTTTTGGGGCTCCAGGACTAGACTAGAGAACAATTCTAAATTAGGAGGCCGCTGTCATGTGTAAGGAGCACACGGAGCTCCCTGGATTTGTACATCTCTGTTATAACGCATGATTTTGTTTGTATAAATATATATAAGTGATGCACAGATACCAGATTTACGAGTACTGATAATTGTCCAAGTCCTCACAGGTACTGATACGTTCATATTTATTGTCATGTGACAGTTTTTCTAAAACAATACAGACTAATGATTTCAGGACAGTGGTGAAGCACCAGAGCCAGGTCCCAGCTGCGACCGCTGCCACCCTGGGAGTTCTCATGAGAATGCCCAAGTATCTGCACTGGTACTCGAAAAGTATCGGTGCATCCCTACTCCTAACCCATACGGCGAGACCCCCACGACCCCATCGGAAGTATACACCACCCTTGTGCCCCCTCTTTCCATCACACGTAAGTGCCAATACCTTATCTTTGTCCCTGATCGTTCCCATCCCTACACCCTGTGCCAGTCAGTTGCGCTCCTTCCCTTTTTTTTTTTTCTGTTCAACTTGATGGGACTGAACGAAGGCTGAAATAGAAGATCTAGTGCTGGAAAATGACAAGTCTGTTTGGTCTTTGGACACACCCGGGCACACACACAAACACATACACCCGGGCACACACACAAACACATGGACACCCACACGGGCACACACAAACACATGGACACACACACGGGCACACACAAACACATGGACACACACCCAGACACAAACACACACACCTGGGCACACACACAAACACATGGACACACAAACACACAGACACATGGACACACACATCCGGGCACACACAAACACATGGACGCACACACAAACACATGGACACACACCCAGACACAAACACACACACCCGGGCACACAAACACACAGACACACACACATGGACACCCACACGGGCACACACAAACACATGGACACACACCCGGGCACACACACAAACACATGGACACACACATTGACACACACGCGTGCGGACGCGCGCCCGGACACAAACACGCACACGGACACAAACACACGGTGAGAGATTGTCCACACAAGTAATAAAACGCACCTTCTCCAAGCACGTCAGATCGCTGTCTTGGCGGAACCTTTTGTTCATCGGAACGCTGCTACTCGGAAAAGACAGAAAAAACCCCCCCATCATATTCAGACTTATTTATACGGATAATATTATTCATTTTTACAGGCTTTGAAAGTTGCAATGTAGAATGAAATGAGCCAACTAAAGTCCTTGCAGAGACTTCTTCCCTAACCACCCGCCATTGAAATGAAGGCAACAGTCGCTCCACACACAGAAGACTGTACATACTGACCCCGTGTCCTGCCGCCAGTGCTGCTCAACGATGCCACAAAGAAAATAAATCGCCGCCCAGTGTCTCTGCAGATATCGACATGGACCTGAGGCTCCATCTCCTGGTCCCCCTCCGCTGGGCTAATTGGTTCCTCCCTCTGTCCCTACATTGCTATAGGACAGAGTGGTGACATAGGACTTGGTGGGAGATGCCACTGAGCACAGTGAGGGATCAGGAAACTGACACTCCTAAGGGGTTGCTTAATGAAGAGACTCTAAAGCTCAACTCCAGGCAAACAGCTAAATACACATCTCTCTCTCTCTCTCTCTCTCTCTCTCTCTCTCTCTCTCTCTCTCTATATATATATATATTGTAACAAGGACACTCCACTGTAGTCCAGGTAAATCAAGTAGAATGCAGTTTATTAAAAGGGCAAACACAAAATAGCTTGAAACAGCACCATAAGACAGTCTTTTAGCTTCGCTCGGTAGCTTTCCACAGCTTCAAGACATGAGCTCTCCTGACTCACAGGTGGGGCCCTGAACACATCCCAGCACACTCTTCATGAAGGATGTACACAGGTGCACAATCAGGTGCTGGTCACCACCAAAGCATGGACCCAGGAATGGAGATTTCATCCCACCCAGAGCTCTAAGAAATCTCCTGGCTCCAGGATCCCAACTATGATCCAGAAAACCTGGAAATAACTGAAAAGGCAGTTCTCTCCTGGTACACGTACTGTCTTCCTGGAGCCACTCAGCCCCTCTGGCTGAGAACCCTGGGTGACTTTGAGGCCACCTAACACCGTGGTATTGGCTTACATTGCCACAATATATACATATATATATATAAAAAATAGGATTTCTATACTCACCGTAAAATCCTTGTCTTGAAGTCCATTGAAGGGACAAATAAATTCTTGGAGTTCTAAGACTGCTCCACACAGGAGAAAGGCAGTCTAAGAATTTTTTAGAATTCCTGTGTCCCTCAATGCACTCACTGTGAAATCCTTTTCTTGGAATCCATTGATGGACACAGGAGTTCGCAGATCATCTTTCTCCTGTAGCTGACGTAATAACCCGGCAGACTAAGAATCCTACGAATTCCTGTGTCCCTGTTAATGGGTAACAGAGCAAATAGGATTTTTGTGCTCCCCGTAAAATCCTTTTTTTGTAATCCCTTGAGGGACACAGGAGTTCTTAGATTGTCTTTTTCCTGTAGGTGACAGTATAACCCAACAGTCTAGGAATCCTACGAATTCCTGTGTCCCTGTTAATGGGCAACAGAGAAAATAGGATTTTTGCACTCACCGTAAAATCCTTTACTTGGAATCCATTGCGGGACACAGGATTTCTTAGATTGTCTTTTTACTGTAGGTGACAGCATAACCAAACGGTCTAAGAATTCCTGTGTCCCTGTTAATGGGTAACAGAGAAAATAGGATTTTTGTACTCAACGTAAAATCCTTTTCTCAGAATCCATTGAGGGACACAGGAGTTCTTATCGTCTTTCTCCTGTAGGTGACAGTATAACCCAACGGTCTTACAATCCTGAAGGACCTAGTGTCCCTCACTGGAGGATGTATAGTATAATGGAATTCAGATCTGCAGTAATGTGTCTTTTATACCTGCCTGGAGTTCAGTGTTCAGGTGTCCAGTTCTTTGCATTAGAACAGCGCTGTGCAAACTCCGGCCCTCCAGCTGTGGTGAAACTACAAACCCCATGATGCATCTGACTCTGGGAGCCATGCCAGTGGCTGTGAAAATCATGAGATTTGTAGTTCCAGAACAACTGGAGGGCCGGGGGTTTGCCCACGCCTGCATTAGAACAGCGTTCAGAGGTGCGGGCAGCGGGTATAATTTAATATATTTATGGGGAAAAGACTTAACCCCATAGTTCTCCTTTAAAATGTTATTTTGGGGACAGAGTGGCCTTTATTGGCTCTTTCTTGGTTCCGGGTGCTGTGAATCATCAGCAAACAATAAATAAATAAAGCAGGAAGTCTTTACGAGCTCAGGACGTCCAACTACAAACCGAATCATCTTCGCTTCCGTCACAATACGGTGAGCGGCCGCAGAGATCGCCCGGGACGGATTAATAAAGAGCCGGAGCGGTCGGGGAAATTGCAGCTTCCCTTCTAAATAGACCCCAAAAGGGTAGTTAGTGGGAAATGTTCTTGAGCGCAAAGAGAAGAAGAACGAGGTGTGTGTTCAGGAAGTACAACGATCAATAATCACCTCTGTCTGCCGCGCCGTGATGGAACCCTATCACAACAAGTCCCGATCAAAGCCTGCTCCTCCAATCCAATATCCCATTAAAACCGCACGCTGACTCATCGATCTGCAGCAGGCGGCCAATTAAGCGCTTTCGGTTAATAAGTCGATGTGTGAAGGGAAATATAATTAGACTACGGGATTGATTTAGTATTTATGAACAGGTCAGATATAATGGGAATTAATTACATTATCCCGGATCTTCTGTTCAAACTCCAGAATTAACATATTACATAGGTGACGCCGCGGCAGTGCGAGCGCTGCTGGCCGCACATCGCTCACATGTTGTTACCTTGGTAAAAAGCACATTTTTTATTTTGTATCTACCTGTACATGTGATCTAATTAACCCCTTCATGACTGAGCTCATTTTCCGTTTCTGTTCATAAATGACTGACAGACTTTTTACATTTTTGCTGTGTGATTCTTCCACGTCAGTAATATACTTTCTTACTAAATGTACCCACACATATTATATATTGTTTTTTAGAGGACAGATGGGGCTATATAATTATAATCAAACATGTGTACCTAACGCCTCACTTAGTTTGAATAAAATAAAAAAAAATGGAGGAAATAAAACTAGAAGAAAACACTTTTTTTCACAAGTTTTGATTATTAGTTTTTTTTAGAATTTTTTTATATTAATTATAGCATAAAAATATATTTATATATAATTTAACTCGTCACGTACAGTGTACGTCTCCCGTCACGAAGGGGTTAAAGGTTCGGTCCACCTATTGCAAAATAAGTAAATGCAGCAACATTGTATTTACCTTATTTTTCGCTCCATAAGACGCACCCTAAGGCCCAAAGGCAGGGGGAAAATGTGTGCGCGTCTTATGGAGCGAATCCCTATTGCCCGACGCCCGGAACATGCAGTTTTTTGTACATTTAGCCCTGCTGAAGCAGTGGGAGCCTCCGACCTAGGGAAGGGTTGCTGTGGATTGTCGGATCCTCCTAGGCCTGCTGCCTGAGAATGATTGGGGTGCACTGAGGATGGAATGAACCTGAAATTCGCATACCTGTGAGACAGGCGATACTTCTCGATAATCCACCTCGTCTTCTCAAATATGACCTCCCAGCTCGGCTGACCAGACATGAGCTCCACATCAAACCTGTATGGCATTCCTTTAAGGGGAGGAAAAAAAACATTGCATTACTTTTGCAGGAATATGCGAGAGAACTACATGTGTGAGTCTGCAGTCATTCCCTTTTTTTTTTTTAATGCAAGCAGTGCAAGTACTTGAATTTGACTGGGTATCAGCCCCTTGCGGTTTACTCTACAGCAGGGCTCAGAGAAGGCAGGAGCAGCACAAGAAGCCAAACAGGTGTGCTGCAGTTCAAGACGCGTGCTGATGGGTGAAGAGAGTAGAGAGACGATCTCATCGGTCTGCTGCTTCTCCTTTCACTGTCATGTCACAGAGGGTAGAGAGGGGACCTGTATGTTAAAGTGAAACCGCAGCAGAGAAAGATCAAGTCCCCTGCGCTGCTAGACAGGGCTATGCTGCGTGGCAGAGCTGTAAAAATCTCAGGACTGGAGGTAATACTGCTCCCATATATGAATAGTAGGGATGCACCGATATATCGGCGCCGAAACATATCGGCCGAAAATGGCACTTTTGGAATAATGCCGAAAGAGCCATGTTTTGGCCGATACATCGGCGCATCCCTGCTTTCTTTTCTCCCCGCTGCTCTGTGTTCCAGCGGGGAGAAAAGAAAGTGACAGCCGGCCGAGCGCTGCAGGAGGAGAGCGCTGTGAGCGGCCGGCGTCTCCTCCCACACCGCTCTGCCGCCTATCACAGTCCGGCAGAGCGGTGTGGGGGCGGAGACAGCACTGTCACAGGAGGCTGGGCTTTCCTCTCTACACCGCTCGCTCAGCCTCCTGTGACAGCGTGTCAGAGAGGAGAGCGGGTACAAGCCGTCACTGATCAGTGATCGCTGAGTGTGTGTACATAATTGAGGACAGAGTATGTTAACTATATCCTCAATTATGAATGAATGGGAAGTGATCTACATCACATCTACATCACTTCCTGTTCATTCATGATTGTAGTTATAGTAAACAAACAATGTTCTCATGTTATCAATGATCAGGAACACTCAGTATAGAGGATTCCTGTTCATTGCTAACAGGGGACACAGAAAAAGAGATTGAGGACTCTGTGTCTCTGAGATCTTTGTGTTCTCAATCTCTTTTTCTATTTTAAAAGGGGAATATCAGGGGTCTGTTTAGCCCCCCAATATTTCCCCGAAGCCCCTAAAAGTAAAGTAAAAAATAAAAATATTTAATAAAAACTGAATTAATATAAAAAAATTAAAAAGTTTATAAAAAATAAAATATAAAAAAAAAATGAAAAAATAAAAAACATTTTCGGTATCGGTTTCGGCCTGACATTTTTTTTTATTTCGGTTTCGTTTTTAAAATTTCCATTTCGGTGCACCTCTAATGAATAGTATTTCATCTGTGTATTTAGCGCTTTGCCGGAGAGTTCAGCTTCAAGTGATGTACTTACTGTACGAGCCGTCCTCACTCACATCGTCGCTGATCACCAGGCAGGTCAGCTGCGACTGCGGCAGGGGGTTACTGCGGTTATACGGACTGATGATCATCCCCAAAAACTTTGCTCCTCCGCGAGAGAAATAACTCTGAACAAACAGGAAATACATTATAATGAATATACAGAGTTCCTGGCTCCACCCACCACCGAGCTTCATCGCACCTCCCGACATGCAGACCCCGCCATACATACACGGACGGCTTCTCCCTACAGGGAGATCAGAGGAAGGCAGGTCTCTGACTGGACGTCCGTAGGATCTGCAGCCCACGTAATGATCTCACTCGGTGCTGTTTTCCTGATTACACATATGGAACCTGTAACGTACCTGGTACTTGGCCTGGGTGTCGATATCTCTGATGGACGGGTTGGGGTCGAATGCAGGATGAGAGTGGTACCAGCCGATGACATTGTAGCCGCTCAGTGACAGGGCTTCCGAAGCCTGAGTCTGAGAGACTGGGTCCATTTCACACTGTAGCCCGGTACTGAGGCTGTTACATGGCTCTGCGGCCCAGATCTGGGGAGAAGAAGATGTAAAAACTGTGAGTCTGTGCGGGCCGGGATCTCTCTCCTTCTGTATCCTGTTATTGCGGATTATACAACTCCGTGTTCATGACAGTGACATGATTTTTTTTAAGGCTTAATGTGGCACAAAATCTTTATATTAAAATATATTCATGAATAGCAACAAAGGGTAGAAATGTCCTAAAACTAGCAGTGATATCATCACTGTGCTGTACATAGCCTGCCGAGAGCAGAGCTGTAGGAGGGACCCAGCAGGCTCCACCCACTACAGGAAGCAACATGAAGGGGGGGCGGAGACAAGACCAGTGACCATGCACAAGGAGAGAGAACATCAGTGACACGGTCCTTATTACAGGAGGGGGCGGAGACTAGACCAGTCACCCTGCACAAGGAGAGAGAGCGGCAGTGACCGGTCTTTATTACAGGAGGGGGCGGAGACAAGACCAGCGACCCTGTACAAGGAGAGAGAGCGGCAGTGACCGGTCTTTATTACAGGAAGCTCTTGTACTTAGATAATAATGGTTAAACCCGGATTTCAGCTTTGAAGTAAAACTAAAAGTCATATTAAACTCTCCTTTTTTTTTCCTCATAATGAATCAAACAAATGTACATGGCCCAGCAAAGTATTTCTTTATATTTTTGCTGAAGCACTAACAGTCATCATGTTTCAGAACAGATCCAACTCTCTCTCAGCTCGGCTTCCCTGAACGTCCTCTTGAGTACAAGATCAGAAGGGAGACCAGAGCCTGCAGCCGCTCCCCATCTACTAGTCTGGAGCAGGGAGGAGGGCAGTGTCTTGCCTCTTCATTTGCTACATGGGAGGTAGGTGGAGCGGGGTGGAGAGCAGAGGGGAGCATTGTGCCTTGTGTTGCTGTGTGTGTGGCACACACAAGGGTGGCTCCATAGGACCCCACAAGGGTAAGGAGCCATCCTATAGCAGGAAGTCAGGGCCAGTGCTCAGGAGACCATCTGATTCTGAAGGAAACTACAACTTATAGACATCAAGGAGCGGCATCCATTGTAAGTGATTTAGCTTAAAGACCTATTGACTTTTTTTCAATGCAAACACTGTGCAATTCCCTTTATAACACTGCAAACAAACTGTGAAATCCTGCACGTGCTTCATACAAGGAGTGTATTACAATAATATACAAAAATAGAAAATCCCCTTACATACTGGTAAACAATTAGTTAGGTGTTTAAAAATAAAATAGAAAGCAACTTACTTCTACGATACGCTCTTCTTCTGAATACCTTCCTCCCAATAGGCCTATGACTTCCGCCAAGGAGATGTGCGCGTGCTTTGACAGAGAACAACAAATCAGTGACACGGTCTATACCAGGGGTGTGCAAACTGCGACCTTCCAACTACAAACCCCATCATGCATCTGCCTCTGGGAGTCATGCTGGTGGCTGTCAAGAGTCTTGCAATGCCTCATGGGATTTGTAGTTGCACCACAGCTGGAGGGGTGGAGTTTGCTCACCCCAGGTCTATGTGATTAGATCATATACGGATTAACATTTTATACTTACCAAATCCAGTATTAGCATGGCCTCCGCTGAGATCTTCACTCGGAAGGGAGCCTGATGGTTATAAAGGAAACACAGAATGGACTTGGAACATTAACATTCATTAGACACAATATATATAAAGCACATACATGTTGTTTTTGGCTGGATAAACACTTAAATAAATCCAGATTCCCTTTTTTCACGCGCAGGAAAGTTTTCTTTCTTTTATTCTAAGTCAGTGGTGGCGAACATTGGCACTCCAGCTGTTTTGGAACTACAAGTCCCATGGAAGTACAACTACAAGTCCCATGAGGCGTTCGCTCACCTCTCGATCCTGTCACGGCTCTCTGCCGTGACGGGAGGGGCTGGATTCCCCCCTCCCCGCTCCGATCCACCAGCGCTGACTGGCGCAGGGGGCGGGTACAGCTGGCTCTGCCTCTAGATAGGCAGAGCCAGCTGTCAGTCACGCAGCTGGGCGGATTCTGACAGAATTGTCGGGATCCGCTCCGGCTGCGGCGTCTCAGTATATAGAGAGCTGTAGCTCGCGGTATACTGAGCTTTGGGTGACGGGAGGACGCTAGTTTGTGTCCTCCCGTTACCCTAAGGAGAACTATGGGGAAAAGACTTAACCCCATAGTTCTCCTTTAAGGTATTTGATGTGGATCCTACAGACCACAGACTCAGTACGGGGTAATGCGGTGTCATGAATGACGTGGAGGGCTCAGGACTCTTGTCTTGCGCTACACGTCAGGCATCTCGCCGCAGTGCGATTGTAATTTATTGTGTGATTGGGCTGTATTGCTATGTGGTGTTTATGCGCTGCGTCGCAGTACGAGGTAGAATGTACCCCGATTGTAAAGCTTGTTTTTGTAGATTTTATTACATTAATAAAGTATATTTTTCAATCAAAAAATAAATATCCTGGTAATCAGCGGTCACCCGGGGCCCCTTCCTCCTGTCCTGGGCCCCCTCCAAGTGGCGGAACTCCAGGGCCCGGTCGCCACCTCTGCGACCCTGGAAGTTTCCGCCACTGTGCAAATGGTATTTACAGAGATTTTAATATACTGACTCAAGGGAGTGACAACTCAATGCTAAAAGATGACATTTATTTTATGTAGACTTACCTTTAATTTAAAAAAGAATACAGAACACAGTTGGAAACATATAAAAGAAATGATGAAATGTTTGTTACCTGTTTCTCTTCAGTAAAGTCAAGGCAGGGGATGAGCTGGAACGGGTCAAATGTGCTGGTAATAAAAGAGTATTGCGTGTTAAGAGCAACAATCTAAAATACCGCATATACTCGAGTATAAGCCGTCCCGAATATAAGCCGAGGTACCTAATTTTACCACAAAAAACTGGGAAAAAGTATTGACCCGAATATAAGCCGAGGGAGGGAAATGAGGCAGCTACTGGTAGATAGATACCAATAAAATTACATGAATATTTATTTAAAAGAAAAATAACCTAGCTCTGTAAGTGGAAAAGGGGGTACAGGGCTACATATCATGTACTACGGATCATTTAACCCATTCATATTAGCAGAGGATAATTGTAAATCTATTGTTCAGTGCATTCTATATATAGTATATAGTACATGTACATATAGAGTGCCTGCAACAATACATTTACAATGATCCTCTGCTAACATGAATGGGTTAAATGATCCCTAGTACAGGGCTACATACAGATCATTTAATACATTCATGTTATTATGTATTGTCTGCACTGTATTAGCAGTATGTAATCCATATAGAGTATATACTGCTAATACAGTGCAGACAATACATAATTGGTTACCGTAATAAATCCCCCAAAATCTCCCCTCACTTAGACCCCATTCACATTGAGCGATTTATCGCGCGGTAATTCCCGCGATATCGCGGCAAATTACCGCGCGATATCGCGCTCCAATGCAATCCAATGGGGCAAAGGGTCCTGCTGTCGCGGGTCGTGTGTCGCTACAGCAGGACCCTTTTTGGAGCGGATCTAGCCGCGATGCAAGCTTGAACGCGACATCGCGCGGCAAATCTCGCAATATGCAAATCGCGCGACAAACGCGCGATTTGCATATCGCGCAGTGGGAACGGGGCCTTACTGTGATTCACTGTGCTGGAGCAGGGACGAGTCAGCGGCGCGCTGGTCCAGTGGGAGGAGCTCCAGGTGGGGTCCTAATTTAGCTGGCTTAGAGGTGCCTGCCCGATAATTACAACCCCACCTGGAGCTCCTCTCG